GCAGCACGAACAGCGGTGGAGTGGCAAAAAAGCCCGGAATCCAGGGGCACGCAGGCCACGAGGAAAGGAGGCCAGCCGTCCAAGCCTTGAGAAGATCATCGAGGGGATCCCCATTGCGAGAGCGGCAGAGGCAGTGACGCACGCGGCCTTCCAGACCCCGCTGACGGGCAGGCGCATCGCGCGTTCCCCCTCCAGGGGGCACGAAAGGGGGCACGAAAGCAGAATGCATTTGGGGGGCCCATTTCATCTAGGAGCCGCCCTTGCATGTAAGCCTCGAGCTTGCAACCAACAAGGTGATGCACGGTCAAAAAGAAAACATCACACTGGGACCGAACACGGGCCGCAAAACTCTTAGCAATTGCACTCCAAGATGCGAGACTAAGAAACAAAGGCCGCTGACATATTCTCACCAGCCCTCTGGGCGCAAGTGGTTTAACGAACGTGCGTCTTCTCTGCTAACATCCCTCCGCCCCCCGCTCGGAGGAGGGATGTACCCCTCCCATGGGGGCAGGGGGTGCGTTTCGGTCAAAGATGGCTCCAAGAGGGTCTCCGCGAGTCCAAGATGGTTTCCAAGGCGGGCCCTGACACCTCAGGATGGCTCAAGACAGCTTCCGACGCACATCCAAAAGGCCTCCGGGTGGCCCCAAGACGGTTCTCAATGTCCGCCGAGTCCTCCGAGCACACACACACACAAATGTGCCTAAACCTATTGAACAAACAGCTGGCGTTGTCGTATATCCGACGGGCGTTTGAGGCTTCAACATGGCCCCAACACGGCCCAAGAAATACCCCAAAGGGGCCCAAGAGGGCCCCAGGAGGGCCCCAAGAGCGCCCAAGAACGCTCCAAGAGCGGCCCCTGGCCCGAGACGCCACGCGTTAGCCTCCGAAAGGGGGGGGGGAGGGGGGGGGGGGCAATCAATAAACTCCCTTCCGTCGAGCCACAGGGCCCGAGATGCCCCCTAGACCCCTCCAGTGAGCCCCAGGAGGGCCCCAAGACCCCCAAAACGAGCCCCAGGAGGTCCCCGAAGACTGGCCCGAGAGGCCCCACGGGGACCCCAAGAAAGCCCCAAGATGGCCTCCATCGTCCAAGAACCTCTCACAACAACATAGATCCAAAGCCCGAATTCCCATCCTCCTTGTCATCGTCCGTTCCGTCCCCTCTCCTTTCCTGCGTCTCCCGTCCTCCTCTTCCTCATCCTCTCACCCCCCAGATGGTCCCAGGAGGTCGAGCATGGCTCAAGATGGCTTGCGACAGACCTCCAAGAGGCCACGGGACAGCCTCAAGATGGTCCAGATTGGCAGAGCATGATTCAAGACAGCCTCCGGCAGCCTCTATCCGAGCATGGCTCAAGATAGCCCCCAAGAGGCCTCAATAAAGCCTCCAATCGCGTCTGGATGGGCTGGCGGGGACACGCGAAGCGTCATGGATTACCAGACTTGGCATGTGTGACAGGAGCAAGGGCAGCAGCAGCAGCAGTGGACTTGCTTGGGATCCCTCCACGTGAGGCTAGGCTGCTCCACCGCGGCAACCACTGCTGCTGCTGCCGCCATCTCGCCGCCATCCTCGCCAGCTGCAACAGAAGCAGAAAGGCAAGCGCTCAGGCTTAGCGCAATAAATGTTAACCATGCCGCGGGACTTGCCGCCCTGCATGCGCCAGGAGCCTCGCGAAGGTGTCCTCGACCTTTGTGCCCGCAATCTTGATGAGTTTCCCACTCTTGGTACAAGCACGATGGGACATGAGCTTCTCCATACAATCACATTGGTTTGAGGACGATGCTTGTTCTAAACAGCGCTTCTGAAGATCACCCAACTCCTTGGCAATGTCTTCCAGCTTTCCAGCGACGGATCCAATATCAGACATATCGTCGGACTGGGTTTGCACCACAGCCCACTGCATATCACGGCAGGCAGTCAAACAATCATAAGACTGTAAACTCGCTTGACACCACGCACGCACTTCATCATCTGCGAAGTGGCCCATGTTGGGCGGCGGCTGTACTGCGGTACGAGGTCCAGCGACACCTGGCCCCACTTGGCCTTCTGGCCCGTCGCCTGATGCCAAGCTTGCTCCACCGCCTGCCAGGGCTGCCTGGGCCGTGGGAGCTGCGGGAGCCGCTCTAGCGCCGCCACCTGCCGCCGCGGGGGCAGGGGCCTGCGCAGAACCAAGCGCATGGGCATTGGCCTCGCGGGCCTGGGCAATCTGCTGGATCTTCTTGTTCTTCCACACGGTCGGGATAACAGCCTGGAGAGCTGCACCGGTTTGAACTAGCTTGGGTCTAGCAACATCCAGCGCAGCGGTAGCTTCTGCCAGTGCAGAATATGATTCCTGAAGCTGGACACGTCACTTGTTACACTTCTCTTCCTTGAAACTAATATCCTGGTGTGAGATTCTCTCATCTCGGGCAGCAGCTTCAACTTCTTCAGCAAGGCGGGTGCGTTCTTCACGGGCACCAGCGTCGAGTTGTAGTTGGCTTCATTCGGCTGGGAGGTAAAGTGGGGCAGCTGCCAGTGGCGCAAGTGCTTCTCGAAGGTCAGGGCGAATTCCAAGTCGCAGGGCAGCTGCTTTACGAACTTCACCATCAGATAAGGTTGGCTCCGCTTGATCATATTCAAGGTCGGTCTTGTCGATCGGGGCATCATGTCCATAGCATTGTCCGCAACACATTGAGCAGCAGGTGTGGCCCCGATGTGGATATTCCCAACGACTAAATGTGCTGCAAGCGTTGTCATTGGGACCGCGATGAAGATACCGCTGGCGGCCCCCACGTCCGCCTCCACTCTTGTCTCCACGACCTGGATACACCCAGGTCTGCCGGGCTGCACCGCGCGCCATGACACTCTGAACAAAAGGTGTGGATAGAACCCGTCTGGGCAGGCAAGCTGGAGCAATCGTCCCGAGCTTGAGCGGACAAGCTTGGAATGAGGCCATGTCCGGGCCTGGAAAGAGCAGGGATCAAGCCGCGGATCAGCGGTGTCTACGCGGTTCACCTAAGAAGCTTGCATCTTGAACCAGAATGGCTACGGGGAGGTCGAGGCGGAGGGGAATGAAGGGAATCAGAGAGGGAGGGAGGGAGGAAGGGAAAAGGGAGATGACGAGCAGCAGCAGCAGCAGCAGCAGCAGCAGCAGGCGGAGGAAGTGTATGGGGAGGAGGAAGGGGGAGGAACAGGAGAAGCTGGAGGGTAAGCATGAGGCGGAGGTCGAGGAGGAGGGACAGGAGGACGGGGAAGCAATTGCTTCACACCGACCTCTGAGACGAGTGATGTCAAACGTTGAACGGCATCTGGCCAAAAAGACAAGCTGTGCAAGCAGTCTGCCTCTAGAGAGGACCCCGTGGCCGGAGGCTGGCCCTCCTTGTAAAGTCTCGCCGCCTGTGCGCACGAGCTGGCACGGAGGGAGAGAAACAGCAAGAGGACGAGGAGGAAGTGGGTCCGTCCCTTCCTCCTTCCCTCCTGCAAGATAACTCTGGCCCCCCCCCTGACTACTGTACTCTGCTGACACGCATCCTCCTCCCCACCACATCAGTAATAGCATCATACGCGAATGTGTCCGCGTCCACGCCATCATCGTCATCATCAGCATCATCAGCATCATCATCATCATCATCATCATCATCATCATCAGCATCATCATCATCATCATCATCATCATCATCATCATCATCATCATCATCATCATCATCATCATCATCATCGTCATCATCGTCATCATCATCCTCATAACAACATCATCATAATGGTCATCAGTATCAGCAGCACCATCATCATCGTCGTCGTCATCATCAGCAGCATCATCATCACCAGCATCAGCATCATCGTCATCACCTTCAGCATGATCAGCACCGTCATCACCATCATCACCATCATCATGATCATCATGATCAGCATCATCATAAGCATAATCATAATCACGCTCATCATCATAACCATCAATTATCAGCATCAGCAACATTATCATTATCAGCGTCATCATCATCATCATCATCATCATCATCATCATCGAAGTCGTCATCATCATCAGCAGCATCAACAGCAGCATCATCAATATCATCATGAGGATCATAATCAGAATCAGCATCATCATGATCATCATCAGCATCATCATCAGCAGCTCGTCATCGTCGTCGTCATCAGCCGCACCAACATCATCAGCAGCAGCTGCATCATCAATCTTGGCATTCCTTCCTCCATTAATCCATCCATCCCTACATCGATTTCAATCATATTTTTCGTAGGTAGGGCGTTTCGCCTGAGAGTACCTCTCAGCTTACAATTCTGAAGCTTGAAATCAGCAGTAGCTACCAGGATAGACAGGATAGAGCACTGGTCCTTTTCAACATGGAGCTCCCGCATCTGAGACGCACACACTCGTTTCAAAAGCTTGTAACAGTCACAAAGATGTAAGGGGGCTCCATACCAAATTGGAAGTATCGCCCCAGCACTGCGCACATTCGTCTTACAAGATTGCGACAGCTATTAGGACGGAGGACGGTTCCTCATGAGGCTATCCCTTGCGACTTCCTTGGCATAAAAAGCTGATGTCAAAACGTCTCTAGCAGCTGCAAAGATGGATGGCTCTTCCTTTTCAAAATGGGGCTCTCGCTTAAAATGTTTGCGAAGGACATGACCAGAAGTAATTCCTTTTCAAGGGGGTGGCCCACAGGGCACTGGTATTTCGAGGGGGGCCTCTCGAAAGGGAAGGAATACTTGTCGTGACTTCTGAGGAGGGGGCTTGGGACTGGAGGGAATATTGTAGCATTGCTGCTGCATCTTGGACCTACTCGGGCCCTCTTCTTCCTCATCATCGTCCTCCCTCCCCGTCCACCTCAGCCTCCTGCGACAACTGTGAAGACGGCGGCGGCGGCGACGACGACGCGTCATCGTCGTCGTCGAGGGTTGAAGAGAAGGGAGAGGGAGGAGGAGGAGGAGGAGGAGGAAGAGGAGGAGAAAGACGACGACGACGACGACGAGGAGAAGGACGGGGAGGAGGACGAGGAGGACGAGGAGGACGAGGAGGAGGACGAGGAGGAGGAGAGGGAGAGGGAGAGAGGAGAAGGAAGGGATGAGGGGGTCGAGGAGGAGGAGGACGGAGAAGGAGCGAGGAGCGGGCGAAGGAGGGAAAAGGAGGAGAAGGACGACGACGACCGCAAGGACGGCGCCCGGGCCTCCGGAGCCTCCGATGCACCCTCCGCTCCGCGGAAGCTTCCCGTGCGGCTGGGCGGCCCCGCCGGCCGGCGAGCAGGCCGCGGGCCATCGCCTGACGAGGAAGCCGCGCAGCCGCCGACGACGGCGTCGTCGTCGCCGTCGCCGCCGCCGCCCCATCCGAGAAACCCGCGCGAACCTCCCAAAGTTGAATTCCCCAAACATTCGGCGGCGCGCCCAGGGGGGAAGCGACAAGGGGCAGGTCTTCTCAGAGGGCGGCGGGACTTCTCAGAAGCCCTCTGGCCTTCTGATAAGTGGTCTGTGCCTTTGGAAGAGGCTTAGGGAAAACTTCTCAGAAGGCTGGACCCCTTCCGATCCTTCTGAGGAGGTCCGCTCCCCTCACTTCCCGCCCAGGCTCGCCGCCGAGTTGGGGCCGCCGCCTCCGCCGCACGAAATTCGAGAAATCCGCGCGAGCCTCCGAAAGCTTCCTTCCCAAAACAGTAGACACGTAGGTGTTCGCAAACCTGCCACGTACTGCGAGGAGCTGGATGGGTCAGCCTAGGTTTTCTTGGCGCCCGCCCGTGGAGCTTGCGCCACATGGCTTGCACCAAATGGCTTACACCACATTGACTGCATCACATAGGTTGCACCATATAACTCACACCGCGCAGCTTGCACCACATGGCTCACACATACACACTGTACTGACCTATTGTTGTAAACTCTCGCGGCGACGGCCCCAGCGACACGCTACACCCTGCGAGCGGATAGCGTTTTGCTCGGCTCCGCGGGGCGGGATGCTGGGACAAGCTCGCGACGTCAACGCTCGGGAACCGGAACGTCGATGACGTCTCGTGCTGGAGCGTGGTGGGCCAGAATCGGCGGAGCGACACGGTAACCAAAAGTTCCCGACCGTACTGCTTGGGGCCCACGCTGGCTAATATCCTGTATTGTTCCTCCTTCTCCTCCTCCTCCTCCTCATCCTCATCATCATCATCATCATCATCATCATCATCATCATCATCATCATCATCATCATCATCATCATCATCATCATCATCATCATCATCATCATCATCATCATCATCATCATCATCATCATCATCATCATCATCATCATCATCATCATCATCATCGTCATCATCATCATCATCATCGTCATCATCATCATCATCATCATCATCATCATCATCATCATCATCATCATCATCATCATCATCATCATCATCGTCATCGTCATCGTCATCATCATCATCATCATCATCATCATCATCGTCATCATCATCATCATCATCATCATCATCATCTTCATCATCATCATCATCATCATCATCATCATCATCTTCATCATCATCATCATCATCATCGTCATCGTCGTCATCATCATCATCATCCTCATCATCATCATCTTCATCATCTTCATCATCATCATCATCATCCTCATCATCGTCATCATCGTCATCCTCATCATCAGCAGCAGCAGTATCATCATCATCATCAGCAGCATCATCATCATCAGTCTCATACTCATCATCATCATCATCACCATCATCATCATCATCATCGTCGTCGTCATCATCATCATCATCATCAGCATCATCATCATCATCATCATCATCCTCATCATCGTCATCATCGTCATCCTCATCATCAGCTGCAGCAGTATCATCATCATCAGCAGCATCATCATCATCATCAGCCTCATACTCATCATCATCATCATCATCATCATCATCATCATCATCATCATCATCGTCGTCGTCATCATCATCATCAGCATCATCATCATCCCTTCTCCCCCTCTCCGCCTCCTCGTGACCATCCCCCTAAGAGGACGACGACGACGGCGACGACGACGACGACGACGGCGACGCTTCCAGGCCTCCGCGGCGGCCCGCCGCAGCGGCCGCGCGGCCGCCGACGCGACGTCGTCCACCAAGAGGCCGCTGTCGGCCTTGCCACGCGGCAAGGCGCTCTCAGGGCGACGAGGTCTGCACTTTACGTCGGGCATGTCCTCCTACAGGCGGATTTTGGACGAATCATAAAAAAATGTTCGACCACATATCCCAAAATATATAGAATAAAGAAAAATGAAATCGAAAAACTAGAATTACAAAAACGTCCCCTGACTATCTTTTGACTTTGGGAAATGCCTCCTGCTCCTCCTCCTTACCCTCCTCCTCCTCCTCCTCCTTCTCCTCCTCCTCCTCCTCCTCATCCTCCTCCTCCTCCTCTTCTTCTGCTTCTTCTTCTTATTATTATTATTCTTCTTCTTCTTATTATTATTCTTCTTATTCTTATTATTATTACTCTTATTCTTCGTATTATTATTATTATTATTCTTCTTATTATTATTATTCTTCTTCGTCTTCTTCGTATTCTTCTTATTATTATTCTTCTTCTTCTTCTTATTATTATTCTTCTTCTTCTTATTCTTCCTCCTCCTCCTCCTCCTCCTCCTCCTCCTCCTCCTCCTCCTCCTCCTCCTCCTCCTCCTCTGGCTCCACGCAAGAAAGGCCGTCGGCGCGAGGAAGTGGAAGGGAGAGGAGGAAGGGAAGAAGGGGGAGGAGAAGGAGGAGGAGGAGGAGGAGCAGGAGGAGGAGGAGGAGGACGAGGGGAGGAGGAGGAGGAGGAGCAGGAGGAGGAGGAAGAGGAGGAAGAAGAGGAGGAAGAAGAAGAGGATGTAGAAGAGGAGTAAGAGGGAGAGGGAAAAACGAAGTGGTGAGGGGGAAAGAATGACCCACAGGGAAGAAGAGACGCCAGAATAGGGACGAGGGACGCAGGACGAGGGAGGAGGGAGGAGAAGAAGATGGAGACGAAGACGGGGAAGTAGAAGAGGAGCACGACTGCAGCATCCAGATGGCCGATTTTCCTAAGCCCCAGACGGAGTACAAGGATAACGGGAGGGGAGACAACAGAGACTCAGGGCAGGAGGGGAAGGAGCAATGGTACCGAAGCGCGATCCAACGGATGCGCGACCCCATGAATACGCTCCGCGCAGGAAATCCGCGCAGAGCTGCCCTGCGCTCGTGTCGCAATCCAAGAGTCCGGACCGCGAGGCCGTGGATATGGATCGGCTGCTCGCCCGGGGGGGAAGTCAGAGGAGGTGGGCCTTCTCAAAGGCTCGGAAGTCCCCCAGCCTTCGCAGAAGTTTTCTAAGCCTTCCCCGAAGACATGAGAAACCTCTCAGACGGCGCGAAGGCGTCTGAGAAGTCCCGCCGCCTTCTGAGAAGGCCTTCTCCGTGTCACTTCCCTCCCCCTCGCTCGCCGCCGAGACATAGCCGGTCTCAGGAGCACTGAATTCAAAAATGTCGACGCCTCAAGTTTACAGACGGCAAAAGTTCGTGTCGTGTCGACCCTGGCGCTGGTTCCTGACACCGCGGGGATCTCTCAACCTTGGTCGATCGGCCGTTCCCGAAACGCCCGATCGTTCCACATCGACCAATTCTGGGTCGCCAGCGGCGTTCAACATGGAACGCCGGCGGCAGGGTCGCCGCCGGTCGACACGACGCTTAGGTCGGGCGTGTCCTCCTGCAGGCGGGTTATTGGACGAAAATATAGATTAGTCGAAAGATGCTCAAATATTGTTCAAAAACAATGGAAAAATTGTCTGCAGACTATTTTTGACTATTTTTGCGTAATCCTCCTGTAGAAGGACACTTGGCGGCGCGCAGAGGGGGGTAGGGGGAGGGGGGAAGGCTTCTTAGAAGGAGGCTGCTTCTTAGAAGGCGCTGGCCTTACATGTCTAGACAAGGCCCGCGCCTTCTAAGCAGGGGTGCTTCTAAGAAGCCCTCCCCCCTCCCCCTACCCCCAATCTGCGCGTGGCCAAACCATCCCTCAAGTGAGCGAGGAAAAGAAGCGGGTCTTTCGCACGCCGACACAAGGACCTGACGCCGCGGCTCACGCGGGCCGCCAGCGTGGCACACCGCGCGGAGACGAAGGCGCTTGCGCGCGACCTCTACGCCAGAATCTTACGCGCGAACGTACCCTACCGAGACCCCCGACGTCATGACTTTTTCATGACGCGACCCCCAAAGGTCCGGACCCATTCGCCGGGACCTGTTTTTCATCCCGAGCCGTTTCTTGACGCCCCCGAGGCCCGGTAAGGGCCCCCAGGGGCCGAAAATAGCGAAAAACCTCCCGTCGTGATTTCTTCACGACGCGAGGGGGTCTGGGACCCCCCCCCTCTGCGCGTGGCCGAACCACGGGAACCTACCGCGCACCACCTCCCGCTGACCTTCCGCTGTGAGGGGCAACGATAGGGGGGGACTGGCATAGGGGGGGATGCATCGACCTGGAATCGGCGATACATCGCCGATAGATCGGCGATAGGCCTCTGATAGTGAGTCCGCACCTTCCTGGGCAGGTTGGGGCTATCGGGCCCCTATCGGCGATCAACGGGCGATTGGGGGTAGGAGAAGGAGGAGGAGGAGGAGGAGGAGGAGGAGGAGGAGGAGGAGAAGGAGGAGGAGGAGGAGGAGGTTCCGGACCCCCTCGGCGCCAGAAATCTCGGGGGGGAGAGGTTTCGGGGTTCTGGACCCCCTCGCGCTGTGAAGAAGTCGCGACGGGAGGTTTTTCGCTATATTCGGCTTCTGGGGGCCCTCACTGGGCCTCGGGACCACGAAAAAATGACTCAGGAGGAAAAAGCGGTCCCAGGGAATGGGTCCAGACCTTTGGGGCTCGCGTCATGAAGAAACCATGACGTCGGGGGCCTGGGTTCGAGGTTTGAGGTTTTCGTCGGTTCTCAGTGGTTTTCCAGCCTCGGGGTGCTCGCCAGCGGCTGCGCCTCGCAGAGGGCGTTCTGGGGGTGCCCGGATTGTCCCGCATGGCCGACGGGGACCCGAATTACGACCCACAAGCCAAAGTCGGCTGCGAGCGAGGGGTGGAAGTGAGAAGGAGAAGGCCTCCTCAGAAGGCGGCGCGGCTTCTCTGAAGCCATCCGACCTTCTGAGAGGTGCTCTGTGTCTTCGGAGGAGGCTCAGGGAAGGCCGGGGGACTTCCGCAAGGGCTCCCAGCTTCGCGCTTCGCGCTGCGCGAAGCGCGAAGTGCGAATAACTTCGCGCTCTCGCGCCGCCTCCCAGGGGAGAAGAGGAGGAAGAGGAGGAATCGAAGCCGAACCGCGAAGCGCGAAGCGCGAATAACTTCGCGCCCTCGAGGGCGCCCTTGCTTCCGAGCCTTCTGAGAAAGTCCGTCCCCTCTCACTTCCCCCCTGGGCTGGCCGCCGACCGATGCGGCCGGGAACTTCTCGGGCGAGCAACGACACATGTACATGTACGCCCTCCGCGGTCTTGCCTGCACGAACGTCCGCGTCGACGCGCACTCCCGGGGAAGCTCACCGCGCACGTGTAGAGATGTTGCTGGCCTCTGAGAGTCACTTCTGTGTAGCACGTCGCGGCAGCGGCCGCGGCGGCACGGCATGCCCTGCGATCGGATCGGGATAGCACGTCGCTCCGCTCAGAAGGGGGGGAGGCTGGGCAAAGCTCGAGTCGTGGACGCTCGGGGACGGAGCCGTGGCCCGCGCGTCGCAGCGAAGTGCGGCGGGCCAGGCCAGGGGGGGGCGCGGCACGCCGACCGGGAGTTCCCGAGCGCAGGCCTCGTGCCCCCGAGCCGGGAGGACGAGGGCGGGACGCGGAAGGACACGCAAGTGTTGTGGATGCCATGACAATTGACACTCTAACAATCCGATCATTGGATCAAGATGTGCTCCAAAGGTGTAAAGCATGCCCTAAAAGTGTGCCACACGTGTTTTTACCTGTCTAAAACCTGTTCGACACAGTTCGAGGCATCTGGAAACTATTTGGCAGCCTGCCTACTCTCCACTGATCGACCTCCACCACGCCAACACGCTGCGCCCTCCTCGGAGCTGCACGCCCGACCGGGACGTGCAGCACGAGGACCTCACCTGCCCAGAGGGTGAGGGTTTGGGCCCCTGTGCACCGATTAATACACCCTTCATCCCTCGTCTGCATATAGGTTTGTTTTCTTTGGCCGCCCTGCCTCATCCTCCCTGTGGTCTCGATAGGCGCTCGGTCTCTGTCTATTGCCTCCACCCTGCGGCTTCTTGTACCGGAGGTGGCGGTTGGGGGGCCCACAGGTCTGGCCGTCAACCCCAACAACAACAACAACAACAACAACAACAACAACAACAACAACAACAACATGCACCGCTCCCCGCGCGGCGTGGCCAGCAAGCACCCGCCGCCGAGCGCAGACCACGAGCTGGCCGAGAGGAGCGCGCGCGTCGCCGGGCCCCCTTGTCGCTGGACGGAGGTCGGGCGTGCCCCCCTACAGGGGGATTCGGGGCGAAATGTAAAAAATATTCAAAACATACCCCCCCAAGATTCAAACATTGACACAAAAACAAAAGAAAAAACAAAAAACAAAATAACAAACAAAAAAAAACGTCCCCAGACTATTTTTTCACTATTTTTGAACATTCCCCCTGTAGAGGGACGGGCGACGCGCGCGCGGTCAGCGGGGAACAGACCTGCGGCCCAAGAGAGCCCACAGAGCAGCGCCCCTCTTCCCTCGCGGGATCGGGGAGTGGCAGGCCCAGGGCCGATCGCTGCTGAGGCCTCGGAGGCGTCGTCTGGCGGCATCCGGCACTCCGTCCCGTCGGTGGCGGAGACACCGGAGAGAGGCGGAGCACAAATACACCGCGCAGAACGACCTTCAGCAGCAACGCTGCGTGAGAACACGTATGGTGAGTCAACCTCCATAGAAGAAGAACAAACGCAATAAACATAAACTGTTGGCGCTCCGCGCGGATTTCTTGGATCCGCGCTGAGCGCGCCAGGGGCTGCGCAGGAGGCGCCGCCCGGGGGGACCCAGCGCGGATCCAAGACTTCCGCGCGGAGCGCCAAAAGCTTATGTTGATGCCGTTTTTTCTTCTTCGAATCAAGGGGAAGGAGGGGGGGCGCGCGAGAGGACCGACGAGGTTTTGAGAGGGCGAGAGGACAAGAGGACGAGAGGAAAGGAGAGGACGAGAGGACCGACAAGGTTTTGAGGCGTCGCGTGCTGCTGAGGCGGCCGTCCGCGACCCGCCTCCATGAAAAAAGTTGTCTCTTGTGCCGCCGGCCACCACGCACAACCGCGGGCGCCGGTGGGGCCCTCCAGCCCCGACGCCGGGCGAGGCGAAAAGGTCACCGCGGATTCCGCCCGAGTGCGCGTTTTCCCATTCTTCCCCCTCCTCCTCCTCCTCCTCCTCCTCCTCCTCCTCCTGCTCCTCCTGCTCCTCCTCCTCCTCCTCCTCCTCCCTCCTCCTCTCCTCCTCCTCCTCCTCCTCCTCTCCTCCTCCTCCTCCTCCTCCTCCTCCTCCTCCTCCTCCTCCTCTTCCTCGTTCTCCTCCTCCTCCTCGTCC